TATGTTGAATGTTTGTCTGTGATTTGTGCATATCGAGATCTTCGTGGGTTCCAACAAGATCGATCCGTCATCAGCGTGGCCCTGCGCGCCACTGCCTGCCAGCATGCTGCCAGCGCGCCCAAGTGCGCGGGCTGCACCCGTTGGGCACCCAACTCGCGTGCCTTCCGTTCCTTCGAGCCACCTGGTTCTTTAGCCATCCCCACCAGGTTCTAATACTTTGATATCCATCCCAAAACCTCCAATAGCACTTCCTTCCGAGGCGTGGTCCCGCCCGTGCACGTCTACGCCAATGCGCGTGTTTGCGCCCTTCCTTGCGGTCGTCCCACGTGCGCGCTGTCCACCCAACATCCACCCCTCGCGCACCGATCGTCTCCCTCGCAAAGTAAACGTCCGAGACCATAGCCTACACACATCGTGCGCGTCGCTTCCTCGCACACACCTTGCGCCATTCGACCACGCCGCTCAAGCCTTCAAGCCTCAAACTCTCGAGTTTCTTGCTCCACCTCCTATGCCATTGTACATGTCGGCACCCTCGTATACGTGCTCGTGCACGTCTCCTAGGCCATGCAAGCCTCGTTTCCGCTCTTTGCTTGGCCTTGTCCATTAGCCTCGGCCCTCGGCCTTTCTCATCATCGGGGGTCAAAACCCACTTCCGTATCATTCCCGCCCCCTTTAAGAATGTCCTTGTCCTCAAGGACTTCTCATCGTCCATTAATTGGGGCGTCCTCACCTCGTACACTACGTGCGCAATTTCTTTCTCAACCACTGAAACCTCTAGCACACCTTCTTCATTCTCAAGCCAAATCTCCTCCTTTACTCCAATCACTTCGGCTTCCTTGGACTCGCCCAAAACTCTTTCGACCTCAACAAAGTGTTCATCAGGGTATACATCAAAAATAGGCGGTCCTTCATAGTCCGTTGACTCGCACTCGTCCTTCATAGCCGTTGAGTTCTTAAAATATTTCGAGAATTCAAACGGAACAATAGGCTCCTTACACTTTTCGTCGATCCTGCCTTCTTCTTTGTCGGACTTGCTTAGTACGCGGTCGGTTGCTCTAACCAACTCGCGTATCTCGGATTGCTGCAGCTCGATTGTCCAAACCTCTTGCACCTTGCCTTCGACCTTAGTTTCCTTGACCTCGGCTTCTTCAATTACTTCGACGTCCATGAGTTCATCTTCGGGGTATGCGTCGAAAATAGGTGACTCCTTGTAGTTGATTGGTCCTTGCTTGGCCGTGCACTCATCATCTTTGTCCGAATGGATGTGTTCGTCTTGGGCTGCCTCTTCGTTGTCAAAGTATCCTGGAAATTCAAACGAGAAAGTAGTTTCTTCGTCGAAATATCTCAGAAACTCAAATGGGAACGAGTACTCCTCTGCTCGTTCCTTGGCAATTCGATCCACTCCCTCCGCGTTCGACGTCTTCTCTTTCTGGGACTTGCCTAGGGCCTTGTCGTATGGTCTCGAATCCTTCGAGATTCTGGTGCGGCACTCCTCATGTTCCTCGAGTCGTTCGTGCCCGTGCGGCCGAGGTGGTGGCCGCGCCTGCTGGTGTTGGAAGTTGCGCGCCATCTCGTCGAACCTCCGGTTCATGTTCCCCATTAAATCCTGCACCGATGCCTTGGTGGTGTCGAACCCTTCGCCTAGGTTGTCCATGGCCTTGCACATGCTTCGGACTTGAACATCGAGATTATCGATCTTGTCCTTCATCTCCTTGTTGGCCATGGCTTGCTTCTAGGACTCGTGTTGAAGATGATGATGATTTTTTTTTTTTCGATCAGCTAGCTCCTCTCACGAGCACACAACCTCACGATTATTTTTTTTTTTTTGATAGGAGAGGACGAAAAAAAGAAGAAGAAAAAGAAAGGGAATGGGGTAGGAAAAAACACACGATCAACACCTCTCAATGAAAGCACCAATGATGAGGATCGTGTGTTTCGACTGCCGATAAGCCGCTAACCCGCGCCTTGAATCGCCGATAGTGTTTCTCTAGCCACAACCGCGCCTATTGAAACGATAAAATTGCAATAGTATTTTGGTGAAAAGACTAAAGCAAAGTTGGAAGAACAAAGTTCTAGACTTCTATTGATTTCTTGGATGATTTAATTATGAAAAATAACATAGGGGAAGGGGCCTTTATATAGGCACCAACTAGTTCTAAGTCTATTCTACTTAGGGAACTAATAAAGCAATAAAATATTAAGAATCCTAAACAATCTAGAAATTATAAAGCAATAAGAAAACTAAATAACTAGGAGATCTTGTGCCTTGACTTGCACTCCAAGTAGGGAAGAATAATCATCTCAAAAGACTCATAGGAAACT